GGAGCAAAGGGCATCGCTACTAGGAGCAAGAACGCTACTAGGGGCTCCTGGCCGTACTACTAGGAGCAAGAACGCTACGCACCCCAGGATGTTGATGTGTGGACTGGCCAACTGAAGCTTGTTGGGGTGTTCGACCATGCCTCAAAACCTCATCACGCCTGCCATGAGTCCAAACCCGCGGCTTCGCACCCCTCCGGGTTTGCCAGGAGTCCATGGAGGCACGCGCCATGGAGGACGCCGAGGATTGGCCCACCGTGGAAGATCTCAGGCGACGGTTGCGGAGCAGCGCCCCACCCAGGGACCCGCCCGCGCCCCCAGCAGACTCTTGATTAAGAACCCCCGCATGTGACAAAGAGGTTTTTCAATTCAAATGTGTGGGGTTATTTTTCAAGTGTGGTGCCTTTGGTTTTTGGGTGCGAAGCCGGCGAACACCGGGCCATATAAGAATGGTAGGTGGGTGAGAACTTGCGCAGAAGGTGGGAGATGACTGAGCTGACAAAGTGGATGTGGGTGTGAATGGTGAGAGATCAAGTACACGAAATTGCAAAGACCAAGCTAGAACTGCAAGAAGTCTGCAAGGAGGATTGTTTTGCAACATCTTCGCCTGGTTCTAACAATAACTAGTATTTATAGGACATGAAGTCCAGCTCCCCTACCACTCAGCATGAAGCATCTGAGACTGTCAGACCCTGCATTCGAAGCACGCTCCAGGTGGATGAGGCTTGTGATGAAGGCTGGTGGCGGCCTCTTCAAAGAGAAGGCTCCGAACCACTGAGGGAGGGGGACGTCGACGCTATCGACTCCTAGAAGCATCTAGAACCACGCAATCACGCAAGTCCCTTTTTTTTGAACTGATTTTGGGGGTCAACCCAGACTCATTTGGGCTTCCATGACCACTTGGTTTGTCCGACCGCTTCTACCACTTGTCACTCTGTCCACCTCTTGCACCTTGAGCATCTATTTTTTTAAAAAGACAATTGGCAATTTGCACAAGTGGAGGATCATAGTATGGAAAGTGACCCTGCGCCACTTTCCGCCAGGTGATGCCCTCCTTGAAAGAGATCAACCAGTTGCTGAGGCGCCAAACGCCGAATGCCCAGAGGAACGCCAAGTTTCGCCAGGAATCACAGATTTGTGGCATTGTCAACCTAAGTTTTGCTCAGAATCCTTACCCTAGGGCTCCAAGTACCTTGTGAGGTGTTTGGGGTTGGTTTAGAGGGTCCAAATAACTTCCGAAAAGGTACTTGGAGCCCTAGGGTTAGGAATCCTTTGGTCCAGGCACCGCCGTGACTTGGGCGACGATGACAGCTCCAGCAGTGCTCCGGGCGGCGGTGCGGCCCGCGCGGTGAGCGGCAGCGGTAGCGGTAGTGTTAGCGTCGCGAGTGGCGAGGCATTTCAGGTGGTGCGAAGCTCAGCAGTGGGGTGCGAACAAGGCTCAATGATCAGGACATCTTGTGGTGAAAATAAAGTGACAATTTGGTGTGGCCGGAAGTTCAAGATTGAATCTGAAGAGTGGCTCTTGCATTCAGTATTTGATGCGCTCCCCCACAAGGGATCTTCTTTTGCTCAATCCACTGCTCGTAGACGGTCGCACAAGCTGGTGCACCCAAAGGAGATTCGGAACCTGGAACCTCTTTGAACATTTCTACACCATGCCTATCTTAAGACTCCGACACCTCTGATCTTTTCGGAAAGACCATGCTCATGATAGGGGTTTCATCCTGACTTCACCTCTCTGGGTTTGGTACGCGACGTCCGGGACCCGTGGCGTGGACCCGTCCCGTTCCGTCCCAGGTGCGGCGTCTCACCGAGGGGCGCAGCCGTGTGGGGAGTTGGGACGAGGAACGTTGAGGAGTGGCTGCTGACGCCTCGGGCGTTGACGCGTCCGAGGAGAACGGTGGGGCACAACGAAGACGAAGGGAAGGAGGAAGGACCTCGATGTTCTATCCATGGTCTATGGGTCTATGGGCAGCAGGAAAACACATCTCTCTGCATTTGCATCCTTCTGCGTCCCTTTTGACCCTCTTGGTTCCTATCACTTTTTCAGCAGCACCTGCTCACCTTGCCCAAAGTTGAGGTGTCACACCTCACGTGTTGAGCAGCCCCGAACCAGAAGAAATCCGTGCTGGGAACGACTTGAAGCTTTATCTTTCACATGGGGTAGACAGATAGGTTATCTCTATATAGACTCTATATAGGTTCCACAGGTCTTCAGCTCAGTGCAGATCGTTCGCGTCTCGTCGACGCAGCTCGTTCGTTCTTTGTGGTCTTGTGTTCTGGTCATCCCTCAGGACGGACAGCTGGACATCGGATGAGACGCGTCAGTCAGGGGCAAAGGTTCCCGGCGCGGCGCCGCGCCCAAAGTGGCGGACCGGATTGAAGAGGAGCAGAGGAGCAAAAGCGAAGCGAAAGTGAGACTGGCGAACCGCAGGAGCTGCAGCTGCACCTGCGAAAGCCACATGAAAATGGAACCTGAGCGAGCATGCGGATGTTGCGGACAGACCAGCTTTGAGAGCACACCCTTGATAGGGTGTATACGAATATTCTTATACGCGGAGTAAGTAAGTGGTACTACGACATGGTACTGTTGCGGAATATTCACTGGCATGCAGCTTCGTTCACCTTCATCTCCGTGGGAGTTGGAGTGTGAAAAAGACCCGTGGTAGCCATTGTTTGTCCATCCATGGTGGTTTTGTTTCCAAGGATTCAAAGCTTATTGCTTCAGTCTTCAACATGAAGTGATCTATAGGGCTCATTGGATAGATGTCAGGGTCCAGTGGCCGCCGGACTTTTCCGACTTTAGGAGTTTTTTTTGTTGCCACACCACTCGACCTTTGGGTCAGGAGTGGCTCCAGCCCGGGGGCCTGGTCCGAGCGTGGAGACAGACAGACCGGTGGAACCCACGAGACGTTCACCGCGTGGAACGAGCACCCGGGTCGTTGTTCCGATTCGGGTCGTTCCGGTCACCACGCGACCACCACGAGTGTGGTGCCACATGACATCACCTGGTCGTGTTTTTTCGGGGCCTGGCGAGTGAAGGATGGGTCAATTTTGAGAGGCGCAGCCATGATGATCCCGGGTGCTTTTGATGTCTCTGCATCCCTATCTACTCAGTCCCACCAACGCCCCGCGATTCGCGGCGTCGGTGGTGGTTGTTTGGGAGGCGCCGTCCTTCACCGCATGCGCCTCCAGCTCACCATGACCATGAAGGCGACGTCCAAGGGCGCAGCCGCCTTGCCGCCTTGTTCAGACCGACCGCTGAAGGGACCGGTGACACTTGGGATTTTTCATCCACACCTGTTTGTTTTCACCTTTTTTCACATATACAAAAAGGATCAACCAACAAGTTCCGACTGCTTTTTCCCCGCCACTCTGTCGCATTTGTCTGCCAAAGACGCGTTCCTCCCATGGCTGAAGAGCGCTGGGGTCGCTGGGTCCCCGCCGCGTCTCTCCCGGAGTTTTCCCGGAGTGACTGGAGGTGAAGGAAGAGACCCGGCAGAGGCGGATCCTGTGCGGTGGGTGGTTTGGGGTCTCTCTCTCTCTCTCTCTTGTGCTCTGGGAGCTTCGAGCGAGGGGCTGAGGAACGTGGATGGGCCACCGGTCAGATCGTCCGTTCGATGTGTCCACTGCTGCGCCCCGAGAAACGGCGGATGGAAGGGGATATGAACTGAACAAGAAGCGGTCAATCATCGGGTCCTCACGAGTGCTCGCGCTCGTGCGAGTGCTGGGAGTCACACGTCTACATATTTGGATGTCTATAGACCAGCACCCGACTTCACAGGTCACCAATTGAAACCATCTCGGAGACCTGGTATAGATGGTGGACACTGGACACGGGTATACGGTATAGATGGTGGACACTGGTGGACACTGGACACCCCGAACCGGAGAGTGGCGGTCGGTGGTTCCTTTCTGGGGATTCGTTTCGGGTTGAAGTTTTTGGGGCCCTCGAGGTTTTTGTCGTCGTCGTGGCTCAGGTTGGGGGAGCAGAATCCGTCCGAGCAGAGCTTCGTGAGCTTCTGATATTTTTTTTTGAGGGGTTTCGAGACCCTTCATGTTCACTGACCATCACTGACCAGTGTCTAGTCCTTCTGTGGGGCAACCTTCCAGTTCGAGAAATCCGCCACCACTTCCTGCCTCCTCCCCACAGGTAGGACCCGGGTGCCGGGTCGGTTCTCCAGTCCCATCCCGTCCTGCACCTTCCAAGCAGATGCCCATCCGTGCTTGACCTGTGTTTTGGGGGGGGGGTGAAGCTTGGAATGGGTGGTGCTCCACAGCTGTCTCCTACACAAGTGGAGAGGCCAGTCTCCACGGGGTGGGACTCCTCCAGGAACGCGGACTTCTACGGTTTGCACGTGCTTCTGGAGCCCATGAGGGTGGGGGGGCTGGGTCCGGGGCGGGAGGGAGTTGGTGTGAAGGGAACAAGGACCTCAGATTGATGATGAAGATTAATCTCCAACACTTTTTGAGAGGTATGCCGCTATGCCAATGAACAGCATCAGCTACCAGAAGATGTTTGCCAGTCCACTCTGAGTAGACCTGAAAAGACCTGTACTTGTACATACTTGTACTGTTGAATGAAAGAAGGTTCGCACACTGGCATATTGATTTAGATGATTGGACGGTTTGCCTCTGTTTGCGTTCGAGGTTAGCCCCTCTTAGACGGGTCGTTGACCCACTGACCTCGTCCGAACCAGCAACGATTCCGGCCACACATGGCCACACGGGCCTATGATGCCAAAAGATTGTATAAGAGTTGGCGACATGTTCCCAATTTTACAGGACTCCTACGTGTCTTGGAGCGGAACATGGATGAGCGTGAACAGCGTGAACCGTTCCGCACAAAAAAACGGGACATCCCCTGCCTCCACCTCCCGATCCACCGCCGAGGAGCTCGTCGGTTTTGGGGATCGGTTCCGTCGAAGTCACCCAAGAAGGTTCTCGTCTGTTCTTGCGACGCCACGGGAACATCGGTTGTGATGTCGTCCAGGTGACGCTTCAGCCGAGCCACGTGCGGGCGGCCATGGTCTTGCAAGGGAACATCGCCGGGGGGCTCAGGGTGGCACACCCCAGGAACCTGAAGATGAAATCTGGCTTTGCCTGGACAACTACTAGACATCCAACCAGGTGGACCGATTGAGATCAGAGGTGAAGGAGTTGTGGTCCATGTCCATGTTCGCTCCACCCGGTGCTCCAAATCCCTCAGGTCCCCAACCGCTCCACCGACTCCGCGCGCCAGGAGCAGCTGTGCTCTCGGATGACGCCGGCCGAAGTGAAGCCTGCAGCCCTTCGTTCACAAAGTGAAGCCTGCAAACGTGGGGGAGTACCGGACCGGGTGTCTACCGAAACCATCCGAAACCTACGACCCAAGTGAAACAGAACTTGGTCGCTTGGAGGTGAACGACGACCTTTTCATACCTTTTCCACGACAGCATCCCAAGAGGTGAACGATCTGTAGGTGGCATATCTGGCCAAAAAAGAGTCTCAGAATCGAAGGGTCCAAGAACCGGCTTTTTTCGCCCTGTTTGGGAGCTGCTGCGCCACCCATGCCCCGCTCGACACCGCCGGGCCGAGGTGGGCCGAGGCTCCACGGTGAAGCCGGTGGTGTCGCCCTATCCGTGGAAGGGACATCTCAAGGCGCTCGGGGGACGGGTGCGGGGTGGGCGGGGAACCTGAGGATTCCAGATCAATGAATGTATCGGGCGGTTTGACTTTCTTTTTCTTCCTTTATCCATGTCTACATTTTTGGTTTTGGGGTTCTCCTTGTTTTGCAATCCTCAGTCATCCTCAATCTATACTCAGATTGGGCTGCTTTGCCGAGGGGACAAGCTCCGCGGGTCTCCTCTTTCCATCTAAGCTCCCACATAGGGACACATAGGGGAGCTTTCTCGTTCGGAACTCATCCCCGGGAGGAAGGCCTTCCTCCGCCAACGGGGGGGGGTGCGTTCTCACCGCCAGGTGAGCCTGCCGGTCTTGCGCTTGGGCTTCTTAGCCTCGCCCGAGGAGCCGGAGGGTTGCGTGCTGGTCGTCGAGGCGGGTGGCCGCTTCGGCGGCGCGGACACGGAACGGCCCATCGGCGGTGGATGGGCGCGGGGGTTTGGGGGCACGGAGGAAGGTGGAGGAAGGAAGGGGGGGGCGAAGATCAAGGCCAAAGCTGAGTTGATGTGTACCAGGACAACCTAATTAAGGGGCTTCGTTCTTGATAGCCCCAAAAAAGCTGTGAATTCGGGGTGTCCATTCACCACCCAACTCCAGTGGGTCCTGTTTCCCCTAACATCTCTGTTCATGGGACTTCGGCCCCATCCATCGCTCCAGGCCTTCACGGCGGACGCGCGCGTGGAGATGGGCACCTCCATCGGCGTGGAGACCAGCAGCCCGGCCGAGCAGGTTCGCTCCGCGAGGTCCCGCGCGAGGTTCGCGGCGCGAGGTTCGCGAGGGTCCGAGGCCCGCACAGAGCTTTGGAAAGGGGGACATTGAGGTCCATGGTCCATCAGACATCTGAGGTGAAAGATGGGAAAGCTGAGGTGAACTTGGTCCATGGTTGAAAGATGTTTGTAGAATCTTTGGAATACTCTCTTGCCAAGCTTGGGTGAGTCGGGTGGAGATGGAACACGTGGATGGGTGGGGCGTCTTTGGTGTGATTCGGGTGGGAGTTCCCCAAACAGGAAGCATACCTCAACACGACTCATGGTTCGGGCCTCCAAGGTGTTTTTGGTGCAAACCGGACCGCCGTTCCTTCCAGTCCCAAAGCATCAAACACGCCCTGCCGTCGCTGGTGGAGGCGGCGGCGGCTGCCGCTGTGGCGGCGGCCTCGGCGGCCGCCAGCCGCGGGCGCTCCAAAGCGCGGGCGGGGCCTCAGGCAGAGGCGGCCAAGGCCGCGCTAGCCTCGGCGGCCGCCGGGGATGCCCAACGAAAGCTGGGGGGATGGAGGGGGTGGGGCCGGGGACAGGGGTTTCATAAGTTATTGGATGTTGTTGGTTTACCTCAATGTTGTTGTCTGCCTCTTGGCTCCTTTGGCAAGCTTCTGATTTAAGTGGCGTGAATGGGTTCGTTGATTTTGCTGAAAGACTATGAAAGAACATCAGAAACCACTACCACTCACTAAAACAAAAGTTCCAGAGAAGACTTGTTGCCGATCGGATTCCGATGATAGTGCTGGGTCACTATCACTACTATCACTATCATCCATGACTAGTGCTGGGTCTTCTTGGATGCCAGAGAAGATAGGTCATGAATTTTATTGCTACTAGAAACTCAAGGTTGAAACATGCAATAACAATAATTCACCAAGGTTTAACGCTGTGCCCAAAGGAAAGAGACAGACAACAGATGTTCATTCTTTCTTTCATCTTTACGGTTGTCTTTTTCCTTGGCACCTAAGGACGAAAGGGACAGGACATATTCTATTTTCTACAAATCTTGGCCCACTTTTTTCCAGGTATATTTTCATTCACTATCTTTCATTTCAGGTGATGTTTCTTTTCCCTGTGGCTGAATCCAGTGCTGAATTCCCTTTCTTTACCTCTCTTTTCACCCGCTTTGCACCGCACCAGCTCAGCTCCTTCCGTTCGTTCGCCTTAGCTCGCTGCGGGGCTGCTCCCAGGCCGCGGCCGCGGCGACCCCCGAGTGCGAGGAGCCGTCGGCGTCGGTGGACTTCTGCTTACAACTGCAAGCGCAGGCGGCCGCGGCGACGCGGCGCGAGCCTGGTCGCCTCCTGCGGCGAGCCTGAGCGCCATCTCGGATGGGGTGGCGCGAGCCTGGCGGAGCCTGGCGGTGCCGAGAGCTATCGGGGTTCTTACTTCAAGCATAGGAAGAGGTGCTTGTGTGCGCTTTGGAGCTTGGGTGCTGGTGCCGCTGCAGGGTGCTGCTGCTAGATGTTGATGGCAGTGTGCGCTTTGGTGCTTGAGTGCTGGTTGCTGCAGGGTGCTGCTGCCGGATGTTGACTGCTGTGGGGTGCCACTGCTAGATGTCTATGGCAGTGTGCGCATTGGAGGCTGCGTGCTGGTGCCACTGCAGGTGCCGCTGCTAGCAGTTGGCGATGCCGCTGCAGGGTGCCGCTGCCTGGACACTGTCCACAAATAGGTTTTGCTGGTGTAGCTTGTGACTGAATGTCAGCACTGGATTTTTCTTATCTCGGGTGCTTTTGCTTTTAGAGCTGTGTAGTGGCTATCTGGGGTCTGCTGCAGGTGGGCGCCCTCTACGCCGACGTCGTGTCCGCCGCCGGGCCTGAGGCGAGACTTTGCGAAGTAGCTTTCAGTGGCTAGTTTCAGCCCTCTGCACATTGCGGCGTTCAGTTCAAGCTTAATTTTGCTACGGGAGTGCTGTAGTAAAAGTGTCAGGAGCTATATTATAGTTATATAATTGAACAGCATTAGCAGTATACAACCATTCCCTTGCACTGACCTGGTGCCTGAAACTACTCGGTGCCAGGTTGCACGACATCCAGCCTTTTCCATTTTCTGAGCACCATACTCCGGTCACCCCAAGCAGCTAAGCAGCTGGTAGATGACCCTGATGTCGTGGGATTCAACTTTCCAAGCTTTGTGTGCTTCAGGACTGGGTTTCTACATGACCCAAACAGTTGGACTGGGTTTCTTATTGACGAGCATGGCGCAGATGAGCCGGGTAAGTTGGGCGTGCCTGCCGTTGGTTTGCAAACCAGCCTGTGCAGGTGTATGGGTGTCCAGCCAGCCTTGGCTTTCCGGGGTGATGTTCTGGACGTTGGTCGTTCTTCCTGCCTTGCAAAGCGGCGATGACCTTCCCGAGCCGCCCCAAACGTTCCAGTCATGGTGGCCCAAGGACCCGCCAAAAGCAGGCGGTTCCCACCGCTCTTCGGATCGCGTCCGGTGGCCCCGCCTTCCGCCAGGAACAAGAGATGCCCTTGATGGAGCCCACATTGATCGATCTTCAGGTGCCGCCGTACCAGGCTCCGGAAACGACGGTCCCAAAGGCGGTTTTTGCGCGCAGCGCGTGCGTCTGGGTGAGGGTTTCGTATATACGGAGGTGCGCGGGCATCCACTCGAGGTGTGAGTATCGGTGGATGCATGGGATGGGAGTCTGAAGTGGCGGAAGATGCAGCTGGGAGTGCGTTTTTGAGATACTTCGGCCCAGGTGTTGTTGCGCCCGTGTACCCTATCTAAGCAACAGCGGTAGACCTCTGCGAGTCCCTCGGGACGAGTTCGGTGGATTTTGCTCGGTGAGCCCGCGCGTGGAGCGGAAACCACGTCATGGATCCATTCGGAAGAGCGCCCATGGCGGCGGATTTCGGTTTGCAGGCCTTGAGAACGAAGCGGAAGGCAGGGCGGCTGGTCACCGTGCGCTGCTTCTTTTTTCTTTCAGGAGTTTCAGTCCGAAGATCAAGACCCACAAAAAGCCTAATGTTGAACATTTGTGGGTGATTCCCTACTCGTTTGAGGATCCTTCAAACCCGTCAGCACATGAGTTTTCGGTACAAGCTGATAGCTTCGTTTGAACATGGGTCGCACTGTCAGTTACAAACCCTCCAGAAAGACGAAGAATCGATGTCTTTGAATGTCTTGGCCGGATGCGCCTCATCCTCTTCGGACCGACCCGTTTGAGCTCTCGCTTCTGGAGCTCTGAGTCACGACGAGCCCTGACGGTCAGCTGGACGACGGCGGTTCCGCCGTCGAGTTCGATGGCAAGGTCTGGAACAAGCGGGAGCTGTTGCAGGCGGGGGGAGAACCCTCGGCACCGTCGGAGAGAATCGAGTGGGCAGCCGACGGCTTGGTACTGGGTGGTATGTGGAAGGTCGTCCTTTCGAGGGCCACTGTTCATGCTTTTTTGACATGGGGTGTGTGAGGTTGAGAGGAGGATTATATGTTTCTTTTTCTTTCTTTCGCCACGGAAACTGTCACAGATTTCCAAAAAATCCAAGAATCAACCTCCAAAATGGATGTTTTTCGACACAAGGCCGGGCCAAATGGATTGGCCGCATGGTCCAGTCTTCCTGATCATGCCCTGCCGGTCAGTCTGCCTCGACACCAAAACCGATCAGACAGAATCGACTTCCTGAGGTCTCCTTCGTTGGAATGACCACAACTGCAGGTCTCCTCCAGGTGCATCAGGTTAACTTGGATTTACATCCTGCATCTATGCGTTAATACTTACGCCAAAACATGCGCCCAAAGACATCCTGCAGGGAGAACCCTGCGAAACGCGACGCGCTCATCCCTTCTCTCCCTGGAAAAAAACGCGGACGCTTCTGCGCACGCGTGCGTCCGTCCGCTACGCGTGGACGACCGTGCGACCGTGGACTGCACGCGTGGAGGCCTTCTGCCCTCAGATCTCGATCACCTGGGTGAACCTCCACGCGAGCGAGGTCACCGCGGCCGTCGTCGCCCGGCTCTACAGGCGGGGTCCGACGTCGAGTTCGGGCGACCGAGCGTCGTGCCAACGTCGTGGGCGCACACGTGAAACAGCGAACAGACAGGGCAGAGAGGACGATAGGTCGTGACGTTTATTTTTTTTGGCGAAGATTCAAGCTGTGACACTCCTGAGATGTGACTGGCGATCATTGGCAGACTTCCAAGCTCATGACTCTTGCCGAGACTGGCCTGATTCCCGAAAAGTCTGCAACACAGCCATCGACATCCATTGACCCCACAGCCATAGTCCTGCAGAAGAATACTCGACCGCAGAAGGACAGTGGAACTGCACCAGGACAGACCAGGACCCACGGGAGTTGGGTAGTTAATGGACATCTTTTCGTGTCTATTTGACCCCAAACCCGGGGGGAGCTGGTATGTTAGGGCAGCCACCCCAAGTCTGGCAGCTTGATGTAGCCGGTGGTGCCGGATCATGTGCCCATGGTGGTGACCGGACGGTGGACATCCAAGGGACATGGTGACGCTTTATGAAACCTCAGGGAGGAGTAGAAAGGGGTGCCTATTGCAGGATAGGGGCCCCCACTATCGACTCATTTAGGAACTAAAACACATGCCTTTGAAAGTCCTGGAGGGATGATTTTTGATGATTCTTGATCATCCTCCACGGAGTATGTACAGGGGGGCCTCCTTTTTTCGAAAGACCACGAGGGGGACCGGCTCCAATGAAGTACCGCTTCAACAGCTATGGCCCTGGCAAGCTTTGATTTCTTGATCCAAATACTGATACTGGATGTTGAGGGGTTTTGAAGCAATCCAAGCAGCGCGGTCTCTTGGAATCAGCTTGTTCGATCCGTAAAATGAGGGACTTCCCAAGCGTGACCTCTCCCACTCGACTGACCAGTTGAGACCCCCTGTGCCGGCCGCAGTTGCTTTGAAGCCGCGCGGTTCTACAAGCGTCGCGGTGGCGGAGACCCAGCGCCGCTGAAAAGGGAAAGGGCGCCTGGGGTGGAGGACAAGGGGACCTTTCCTGGAAGCTGGGTTTCTTCATGGGCAGAAGGTTGTCATGTCACATGCGATGCAGATCCGGCTGTTTTCCCACTCTAATCCAGGTGGACAAAGGGTTAAGGGTTAACAGGTGAAGCTAAGACGAGAAGTCCGAAGCTTCGATGGCAGCTCCATCAGCGTCGAAGCGTCGACCTGTCTGCCTCCCAGGTGGCTTTTCCCTGCAGATGGAGGAAGACCAGCCCGGGGACTCAACACGGCCAACACGGCCAACGCCCACGTCTCCAGTTGGGTTCACGCCCACATCGGGCAGAAGTCGGCGGCCCACCCGACCAACGGTCCCAAGACTTGGGTCCCAACGAAGCGGTTGTGCGAAGCGGGTGGATGCGTGCTCACTGTCCTCTGAGTGAAGCCCTTTCTGAAAGGGAGCGAACCTCTTTTCCAAGCTAGATCCGGGTCTCAAGATCTGTCCGGTCGCGCCGTCGTTCACGGCGCCAGGTTGGAGATTGCGCGCGAGAGGACGGGAAAGCAACGAGGTTGGGCCCTGCATGATGTCTGGCAATCTGTTGCTGGATTCCAGGTGTTGATGTTCTTCACTGCGGTTTTCAGTGCTGTAGCACTGTTGCCAGTGTGTCACCGTGGTGTGTTGTTGTATTTCTTTTTGGGCTTGCAACATGCTTGCAACATGGTCCATGTCCATGTCCATGCGGTTTCAGGTGTACAGAGCCTGCGCAATGCGTTGGGCTTTTCAGCCGGGGTGACCTAGAAAGGGGAACTTCCAGCTGCAGTTGAGGACTTGGACTTGTTCATCGTCTGGTTGGGACCTACTGACGAGGGATGTGTCGGGTTTTCAACAAACCGGTGGTTGACTGATGACATCCCCCGTGCGCCCAACATGGAAGTGGGTTTGGCAACTTGGAGGACTACGTTCCAAATTTATGATTAACATTGATCAACAGACTTTGACCTGTTGTCCACTTGCCGTTTCTCCGGGGGAGGGGAGGTACATCGAGAACATGCAGGGGAACTACTCTTTCTGGGATTCTCACATGCTTGCCTGGAAGACATCCTGTTTGGTCTTCGGATTTCATGGTCTTCCAGGGGCCCATGGCATCCCCTTCCATTTGAGTTCCACGGAGTGATGCGAAGGACTATGGACCCTGAAAACAGCATGTGCTTCTACCCTTTCGTCACCATGTGTTTTGTTTGGTTTTGAGCATGCACGCGTCGAACATCGAGGGACACCACGCTTGTTCATCTCTTTTCTCAAACCCCACGGGCCAAAAACGGCTGTGCAGGTGATGCATTTCCATCCCATCCCGGCCTTTTTTGGCCTATAAGAACACACTACACTCCCTGGTAACTAACATGAACGTGGATGGCATGGCCTCTTGGAAGACCATGAAATCCGAAGACCAAACAGGGTGTTTTCCACGTAACCATGTGAGTTCCAGAAAGAGTCGTTCCTCTCCATGGAGAGCTCCACTTCCAGCGCGGTTCTTCGCTCCGCCGTGCGGCCCCAGGTGGTCCTAGCCGTGCCGCAGAAGTCGGAGCGGAGGCGATCGAGCGGAGCTCCGCTCGCGCGATCGGCGGGTCCGGTCGAACGTGGTACGGAGCCGGTGGAGCCGAACGGCGGAGCCGAACCACCAACACGAATGGGTGGAAACGGACAGTTCCCGGTGCCCGAACTTGAGAATTTTTGGAGGTCACGACTAAGGGGTTTAAAGGTCACGACTGGGGACTCCCGAGTTCGGTCACTGCGAAGGTCGACATGGGCAATTCTTCAGGCCCTGTTGCCATGACAAGGGTGTTTTGCATCTTTTTTCCTCTGCAATTCTTCCAAGGAAATAGCCATGTGCCAAGAACACAGGCCTCTGATTGGTGCAACTCCTTTGATTGGTGCAACTCCTTCATGTCGCAAGGCTCCGGATTGAACTGAGGGTATGCAGCTGCCTTTGACCAGCAAGCATGGTCAGAAAACATGGTAATATGATTCATGTTCTTTGTGATCTCCTACGTCTTCTGCAAGCATTCTTTCGTTTTTAAGGCTCTGTTCGACATCCGACCCTGGGTCCTGTCCTGTCTCGTCCCCCCAGTCTCCCTGTTTTCCCGCGTGGTGGGTCCTCGGCATCGGACCCCGCCAGGCACAGCCGGATGATCGCCCGCTTGGGCAGCGAGGACCCTATGGGCCATGGCATCGCGGTGGAGGTGGCCAAGCGCCGGGCCAATCACGTGGCCAAGCGCGCGTGCGGGGGCCCGGCTGGATGGAGGAAGGTGGGATGCAGGGGGAGGTTGGGAGGTGAAAGTGTTCATTCTGGTGTCAGGCTGGAAAGCTTGGCAAGAGACGCGTGAGTGATGCTCTGGAGACGTTTGGGCAAAAACTGCACTACGGTGATACAGTCAGCGATACGTTAACTGAGCTAAGGTAGTCCCTATCTAAGTGAGTTTAACTCTCCTGCCAAGACCTCACTAAGGTGGATAGTCCCTAAATCCCAAGTTTCGCACTTGCGGGCCCCATCATGGCCCCAGTTGGATGGTGCTGGGGGGGTCTATGCCCGTGTTGGATCGGAGAGGTGCCTATCGGAGAGGTGCCTATGTAGGAGTAACAGGGACTGGTGTGTTTTCTCCCGCTTTTTTGGAGCGGATCCTGAGACGGGAAACAACGACTCTATACAAAACTGGCTGCATCATCGAAGCTGTCAATGAAGAGTGATCTATTCCACTCATGACGTCAGGAATGTTGCTACCAAGATCTACCAAGACATTTGTACGCCCAGTTTCTCCGCAGAGCTTTCAGGTCTCGATCTTTGGGAAAGAGGCAGCAGCGCATCCAGAGGAGCAGGAGAGCTGGTGAACATTTCGTGAACATCGCATCAAGTGGGGTTGGTGCGAGCAGCCACTCTACTTGCGCAAAAGACAATGCCTCCAGTCTCCTCGCGCGTTCACAAAAAGACGTCCCTTGTACCAAGTCCTTTTACCTCTGAAACATAGTCCAAAGACGTGCACCTGCCTCGCCGACATCCGCCGGCCAGCGCCAGGACGGCCCTGCTCGCGGACTCGGCCGTGCCCAAGGAGCGGAAGAACCCGGTGCGCTCGATGCTGCCAGTGTGGCTTGGGCACGAAGGGTTTGGTCGGCCGGGAGCGGGCAAAAGGCTCGTGGACTCGGTGCGTTTGGAGGAGGGAGGTGTCCGGTCAGTGGATGATTTTCCTTTAGTTTTTTTTTCTGGGACAACTGGGACATTTGCTCAGGCAGCTGAGATCCAAAAGGGAAAACTTATGTGTTTCCTGGTGGCAACCGGTGCCTGGTGGGAACGCCTGTTAGGGTTTGAAGACAGGCTCCCAAGACAGGCTGGCCAGGAGGCAGGAGGGTGCTGATGGTGTTTTCGTCGAGGTCTTTGGTCAGATTTCATGAACCCTGATGGTTGGATGTCACCGTGACCATCCTACCAACTGATGGTTGGATGATGGTTGGATGAACCCTGATGGTTAATCGTCCAAGATGTCACCGTCCTGCAATCCCAATCTGCCCATTCGAATCCTCGTGGAACGCCCACGAATCCAGCAGGACGGTCGAGAGGTTACCACGCACAGCGAGCTCCGGCCCAGCGTTGGGGATTGGGGACCACCCCACTCAACACGAACAGGTGGAACATGGTGGACAGTTTGGCTATACAATAACCTCATACCAGCACCATCCAGCACCTCCAACAGGTCACCAATTGAAACCTGTTAGGGCCCTTCCCAACCCTCCAGACCTGTTGGAAGGTGCTGGTATATAATATCAGGACCCTCCAAGAAGAGGTGCTTATAAATAACCTTTTGGAGGTGATGACTCGGGGTGTCCAGAAACCACCGAACTTGGAGGGGTCCTGGTTTTCAGGTCATATAACCAAGCAGACTCCTCTAAGAGGCTACATTACAGAATATTGCAGACACCTCTTGGAGGGTCCTGACCCTCAAAACAGCAGCCAGTCATGGGGGCGCCCAGTCGTCCGACCCCGACCGTCGACCCCGACCCGCCGACCCCGACCCCAACCGAGGATTGCGAAGGCCGAGGACTTCGTGGCCGGCGCCAAGCAGGTGGCGAAGGATGCGGTGCGAGACACGGCGCGGGCGGCCCAGCGACCTGTGAAGGGCGTGTGCGGGTGGCGGCCCAGGGCGGCCCAGACGCTTAATATATGCTCAACGTGATGTTGGGGGCGGAATGGGAGGGGGTATGGTTTGTATGGCCTGGTCGGAACGGGCGCCTCAAAAGCGGTTCCTGGAAGAGGTGGGGAAAACTTTGGAGCTCCTCGTCGTGATGAAGCCCGAGCCATTTGACCAGGACCTTCACTGGAGGTGTCTCTCAATCGCCTCGAATCAGAGGTGATTCGGGGTGTCCAAAAAACCACCGGGTCCTGCAATATACACTGACATCAACACCATAGAGTTTGGGTGGTTTATAGCCTGTTTTTCTTTTGGTCTTTTCCTTCCAATCACCAGACGATGGTAAATGTCACCACTTCCACTCCCACAGAAAGAGCCCTTCTGTTTGGGGGTGCGGAAGAGCTTGGACACCCCCGCCCTCTGAACCTCAACGCCGGGACCCTTTTCCAATCGCCACGCCCACCCCCAGACGCCCATGCACACCGCAACCAGCGGGCTCTGCCTGGACCTTGGACCCGACCCGTTTCGTGTTCGACCCGCGGTGCGCCCAACGACCGGAGCCCCGCCCCGCCGGAGGTGAAGCGCTCCAATGAGGTCTTTAAGGAGCGCCACGGTCGACACGTGACGTCGGTGGGACACGGGAGGGACCGAGGAGACGCCAAGAGAAGGGAAGGGACAAGGAACGAAGCGGCACCTGCATGGGGCTCCCAGAAGTCAATGCCATCCAACACGCATGAAGATGTGCAGCTTCAAGTGCTTGAGGTTGTTCAAGGTATCTTCTATAGCCGTGGGGAGTCCAGGGCCCGTTCCGTTCCACCTCGGGTCGCCTTAGCTAAAACGCCGTGCGCCGCCAGGAGCTCCGAAAGGCCGCCGCGGCGGAGAACGTCTCCAGAGAGGCCGTCGGTGGGACCGGTCCGTGGCGGCGGTGGCCGTGCTGGAATGGGAGTCCGTGGGGTCGGCGGGTGGTGTGGAATTTGGGAGAAGCTGCCTTCCTGGGATTCTTCGACTTGGGCGTCTGAACTCAAGCTACGAAAAAACACGATAGCCATGTGATCAGAGCAAATGCTTGGCCACTGAGATGTTCAGGTTCCACAGGTTTCACAGATTCCACTCGACCAACGAAGCTTGTACTTCCTGACCCACTAACATGGAAGTGGAAAAGCTCTGTTCGTCAAGGAAAGTCGTCATCCGAGGGACCATTTTAATGTTCATCGCATGCCACATGGCCCCATGGCTTCCATGTCCATGTTAGTGAGTCAGAGTGCACCATCTCAGTGGTCAGAACCTTTCTTCGCAGTGGTGCTGGAACCTCACCGGTTCAGACGATTTTTGAGCCGAAAAAACGCATCGCCGTCTGACACTGGTGGACAGAACCAACGATCCTCACCAGTGGCCAAGATTATCAACATCAAATCAACAAGTCCAGAGTTCGTATGGAGTTCGTGTGCAAACAGGCTGTCTCCTACAGTGATGATCCTACTGCCAAAGCATTTGCGAAACCTTGCGACACCTTCACCGACAACTGCCACGGGGATCACCTGCCTGAGCTCTGGTATTGGGCATTTGGGGTCCGTGTTCTGCTCAACGAACAAAAACACGTGGAAACAGGTAACACGACTTGCGGTCTCAGCAGCGCATAGCAGTGCGAAGCAGCGCTTCCCACCGTCGGCCCCTCGTGACGTCCTAACAGGTACCCGGTGGGGCATCAACCATTCCATTGCACCTCGAAGTTGTGAATTGTGGATTCCACTCCTCAGAGCATCTCAGTTCTGATGAATCAAGACTTCCAGAGGACGTCTCGACCCGCGGGACAGGTGGTGGTGGACGGACGGAGGGTCATCTCGGCTCAGCTCGGAGGAGAGTGGATGAGAGGGGTTTAAGGTGGCATAGTCCCTGCAGTTCGGACCTCGGGTGTACCGAGGATTTGGGCTCAACAAGCCATACGCATGGTCATCCTGCTGGTGTGTTTTTTAACACCTGTGCCTGACCTCTCAGCTGCCCAAGCCTTGAGCAGCTGCCACGTGTGCCTTGCCAAGCAACGACAGGTGGAGGATATGGATGAGCTTGGGCAGGTGGCACGAGGCGCGGAGTCTTTGCGCGAACTCCAAAGACCACCTTGGCGGGGCCAGCGACGCTCAGTCTACAAAGACTTGGACCTGTCTTATATAAATGTCAGTGGGTCAAGACCTGGAGGTCCAAACCCGACCTTTCAAGTAGTCTATTCTATTCTATTCTGTTCATTTTTCGTGGTCAAGTTTTGTGCCACGGCCAAATGGAGACAAAAGGGAAGGCGACCACAACCAATCATCTCGGAGATTTTTAGCACAGGGCAGCGAAGACTCATTCAGTGAGTTGGGAGTCGGAGTCCACGGATCTTAGGCATCCTCTCAGGTTTATCGCAACTAGTCTACAACGCTCTATGGCTCTATGTCTTATGCCACAGAAGGTCACAGATGGCCTCCAGGACCTTGTCTCATTCGTGGACCAAGGACTACGTTCGGGTTTTCCCCATGCCAGAGGGTTTTTTTCTTCCCAGGGCCCCTTCTTCCAGGGCCAATGGCACCGCACGGCACGTGGTCTCTCAGCACGGAACGGTCAGCCGTGGTCTCTCGCGCCCCGGTTCGGCAGGACTCCGTGCCCCTGGGGCCGACGCCCTAGGCGTGGGACCGGAGACGGAGACGAAAACCGTGCTGCACTCGAGATGACAGCTCGAACGATGAGGGGTGCCCCGTTATGAAGAGGGGTGCCCAATCCAAAGGGTTCGGAACATTCATCAAGAATGATGATCCAATTCTATAATATCCAATATTGAATCCAATTGATATAATTATGATATAATGCAGAGGTCGGATTAATCAACGGGCCCCTCCTTCGAGGTCAACAAGGTCAACGAGTCAACAAGGTCTGAGATTGGAGGTATTGGGGGACCACATCCCCCTAATAAAGGTGATGACCTGATGAAGGATGATGAGATGAGGACCTGGACCTGATGATGGATGATAAGAAAATACTGTAAGTCATAATGAATTATAATAGGGGAACGATATGTTTGTCTGGGGCTTCATGGGGCTTCAATATGGGGGGGTTTGTGGATGGGATGCCCAGGTGGGCTCGAGCTGGGCTTGATTCATCTTGGGGGGCGTTCATGGTTCTCCGTTCGGTGTGCGTCTTACCCTCCAGATGAACCATGGAACCCCAAACACCAGGGTTGATGGGTTGAACGGGCCAAAAACATGTGGTCGAAGCCAGGAGTCAATTCTCAAGGTTTGATGTCCAGTCGGAGAGAGCGTAAAACCTCCGACGTCCACTCATCATGCTTCAGTGGAGAACTCGCCCACCTCCCTTGGTGAAGGACACTTCTCACTCAAGGGACCATGCCATCCATGACTACATATGAATACTTCAAAAGATGTTTCAAGACGTATACTACGGAAGACGAGGGGGACCTGCCCACCAAAACTATCAGAATATTCGGTACAGGTCCTGTGCTAGGCCTGCCAGGTCCTGGGCAGTGCTCAGGTGAAAAGGAGGGCGACCTCATTGGATCTCCCTGGTACTCGCGGGTACCCGCGGGTAATGAGCGGTGGGAACCGCAGGGTCTTTCTCCGTTTTTTTTTCTTGGTCAATCACTGGAGCCCAAACGACAGCGGAGAGCTTCTAGCTCTAAAATTGGTGCTTCCTCCCCACTGGAGCCTTTTTGGAGGGCCCTATAGGGCACTTGGCGAAATCGAGTGGTTCCTGTGTTCGTCGAAAGACAAGCCGTCTCGTCTCGCCGGTCGCTAACGATGTTGGAGGGAACATACGCAGCACATGAAGTGATTCACCCGAACGAGAATTGAAGGCGATCACTCCGATAACCATCCATTATACTTGCACCTTGTATAATAAAGTATAAAACATGTGTGTTTCAATGCATGTGGGAACAAAAACACCACATGTGTTCGTGCCACTTTTTTTTTCACCAACAGTATGCTTTAAACACAACATGTAAACACTACTTTTTCCCGATTCTTTTTTCCACGTCTTAATGTCACGTCCGTGAGGCCTCAAGGAGAACTTTGGTTTGGCCTTGCTGCCGGGCTGGCCCGTCGCCCAACTCCAAAGTGCCTTCCGGCACCGCGCGCGGCAGTGCACCGCAGCTTCGGTCGAAGGGAGGGGAGATGGGGAGGAGAAGCTGCGGAGGAGATGGTGATCCTCCTGGGAATTGAGCCAAAACGGGTTTCCATCAATGGAACCCCCAAATCATCCTAATGGGTTGTTTGATCATAAACCATCCTCTTGGGGCACCCCCATTTATTAAATGGAAACCTCCAATTAAGCAACCTAGGTTGTCATAAAGAATGAAAGGTTCGAACGGAGGATGGGGTCATCATTAAGGGCAGCTTTTTTCTCAATATTTTTCAATGGCCATTGCATCATGTTTATTCTCATGCAATAAGGTTTCATTCTCAATGATGCATTAAAAATTCTCAATGCATTTAACATGGCCATTGCATCATGTTTTTCTCAATGATGCATCATTTTCTGATGCAATGTTTTTCCCATGCTTAAAACCATTCTTTTTTCTCCATGCTTTTCTCAATATTCTCATGTTTATTGCATGGAGCAAGCATCAGGGTTGGTGATGGGCCCTGGATGTTTCAAGCATCGGGGACGAGGCTGGGTCACCATACTCGCACTTTGCAAGGGAAAACGATTCCTGCACGGAACAGCAGGAAGGTGCTGCAACTGTCTTGACGAATTGTTTGGCTGCCCCTTGTTGTGGGAGTGGCGCGCATGCCGTTGGCATGGCTGCTAGAGTTTTTGCTCAACCAACACATCCAAGACGAGACAAGAGATAACAACCAAAGCACACCGAGGATGATGGTTTCATTGCAGAGATTTGGCACCCAGGAAAAATCGACCTATATTTCAAGGGGCAATGATGGCGGAAACACCTTGGGCAGCAGCCAACGAAAGGAAACACCAACCGAAAGAAACACCTTGGTCACCCGAAAACACCGGCGATGGGTCTTTGCCCCGGAGAGTGTCTTGTGTGGGTCTCTGCCTTGGGTCGGGGCTTTCTTCTTCAGGTCCATACGTGGAAAACCACCTGGAACCGGGTGGTCCATGGAAGGGCGCCTCGGACCGAGTCACCCCGAGTCTTTCCTGCTAGGAGACCCCTGCTAACAAGGTCCCAAGCGAATGGGAGATGTCCAAGGACTTCTCCAGGCCGACCTCTTTGAAAGATGATGCAAGATGGCCGATCTTCGCCAGGGACCGCCAGCCCAGACCGTCCGATGTCGCCGGAACCCGGTCCAGCACGGTGGCTCAGGTGGTCGACTTGCCTTTGCTGCCGCCCTTGGCCTTCGCCTCGGCGCAGCGCGAGTCGCTGGCCTCCTTGGGCCTCGCGGCGCGCGAGACGCTGTCGGGGCGGGACCTTGAGCAGCGCAACCTGCGGCTGAGCAGCCAGAGCCGCCTGAGCCGCTTCTCGCGCAGCTCGAGGACCTCCGAGCTCACGGAGGAGCGTGCGAGCGACGAGCGGAGATGGTGGAGACGGTGGAGGGTGGTGAGCGTTTTGGGAAGGATTAATGGTGTGCCCTGTTTTCAGAGCTTGGTGTCCATTGACTGCGAGAGCAGAGATGCGAGAGAGCAGAGAAAGTCGGTTGAATGGAGAAACTAGAGACGACATGGATCAGGTGCCATATAGTTCTTTCATGTTCTTTCTCTCTGTTTTGAGCACCTGTGTCAGAAGATAAGGCACCGTAAACACCTGGGTTGCTTGTACGAAGATCTCCAAGCCACTCCGTTCAATGCAGAAATTGTTTCTTCTATTTTCTGTTCAAGTCAATCCTAGTGATGTCGCGAAAGCTCCAAGTCGGTTGGACATGGACATTCCCCAGGGTCGGCTTCCAGGATTCTTATGTACTCTTTAAACACATTTTTGTTTTTCGAAGTCTTTCAAGGCTTTCTGGTGTCCTGATGCAGAGCTGTGCCACCGATCTCGGATGGAACCCCTGGAGGATCTCCAGGGAGCCACCCCCGCAAGGCAGTGGATGCCTATATGGGTCCCCCCTCATATAGGATCATTGCATCTCCTGACTAGCTCCTGACGAGTGGCAAGCCGTTTCACTCGTCGTTGCTTCTTCGTGTCATGCTTCGTGACAAGCCGACGAGTTCCCACGCGATGGCGCTATATAGGGGGGATTGATCGAAACGGGTCACGAGCTGGTCAGAAGGCCACAGAAGAAGCCAGCTGTCGCTGCCTGGCAACCTGATTTTGAAGCAGTTGTTTGGCAGTCGTAAAGAAGTCTGTTTGGAACCAATGAACAAGTGCCGAGATCCGGAAGGGTGAAGCTTGACGCTTGGAAGGTCAATTGACCTGCTTGGAAGGTCACTGGGACCCCCGGAGCTCGGCCGAGGCCTTTGGGTCCGAGCTGGCGTTTCCACAAAGCCTGTGACCATTGGAAACACAGCGAATTCAACCAGGACCTTCCAAGAGGTCTCTATAAATTGCCGCTAGCCTCTTAAAGGTTTTCATGGGTGTCCCAAAACCTTGGAAGATCCTGGAAAGCTGAAGCTCAAGAAGTGCTGTGCCCTGGGCCCCTGGGCCGTGGACTCCAGCTTCAGCTTCAGCTTCAGCTTCGATTCACCGCGCTTCTCTCCCGGTCGCGCGCCCGGCGATCCCACTGACGCCGAGCGGCGACGTTTGGTCGGTGTGGGGTTGTAAGATGTTGTAAGTGATTTCGGCATGATATGAATACATGCACATACTGTAATAAACACACAATATATATATATATATGCAATCTGTCACGTAGTGATGATGTATTTTGACAACCTAGAAACAGGTAATCAACTAGTTGATGGACGGTCGAATCTGTCGTGCCATTTTGGCTACAAGATTGGGTCCCCCCGCACTCATCATTTTTGAGCAATGGATCTGGATGGTGAGGACCCCCATGGAGGGGGAGACGGCGCGGGGGGCCCCATTGAAAACTGGAGCCCTCAATGAGTCCGACATCTCATGCTACGTGGCGTACTGGGGCGGCCCGTCAGCAGCATGAGATCAAACACCGCCGGCGTGTTCGAGCGCATAAGAAGTGTAAGAATAGAGTCGACCTAGTAGGAGACATGATCAAGGGCATGCAAATCACTGGTGGGCCGCGTGACCGGTTGCTTCGCCCAGGAGTGCAAGCCACCCCTGCTGGACAAAGAGGACTTGTGGCGGGGGGCGAAATCAGCCCAGCAGGAAGTAGCAGCTCGAGTGCCGAGACACATGGCTGGTAGGAAGGTGAGCATTGGGGGGGCGAGGAGCTTGACGTGGCCCAAGAGGTTTGGGACGCGACCATGAAGGAAGTTGAGGAGGGTTGGTTGATGGGTCCCCTGCAAGCAGATCAAGTGACAGAGGTGGTAGGGCCGTTGTGGACCCCAAGTAGGAGGTTTGGCATCGTGCAAGGTTCGAAAGTCAGGCACATCGATGACCCGAGCGAGTTCGCCGTCAACCCTATGGCCGGGGAGAGAAACTGGACCTGGGAGGGGTCGACGAGGTAGTCTCGTTGGCTGCAGCATGGATGAGGGTCTTCGGAAGCTCGTCGAGTGCAGTCAGGGCTGAACTGTCCACAGGGTTGGTCCTAGAACAGAGATTCCGAGTTGAAGCTCAGTGGCAGGTGCTTACCAGCAGACAGGAGTTGCGCCGTAGTGGCCGTCCTAGAACCTCGAGATGGTGAAGTGAGGTACTTCATATCGTATGTGTTGCTGTTTGGGGCTACGGGTTCGGTGATGGCTTTCAACAGAGCTGCAAGGGCACTGAGGGAGATCATGCAACGATTCCTCATGCTACCCGCCATCAACTATTTCGATGATTTCCCCCATGTTGACCTTGATGGTATGGTAGTGAGGTCGCAAGTGGTCATGGAGGAGGCCTTCAGAGTCATGGGGCCAAGAAGGACACCGCCTGCCAGGAAGTTTGTAGTGCTTGGAGTCGTTGTGGACCTCGCCCAGTCCCATGACAAGGTAGTTGTGGTGCGTAACAAAGAAGACAGAGTAGAGGAGCTAGAGGCCACATGGAGGCATTGCATGAGTTCCCACCAGCCACAGCAGCTAAGGTGTACGGAAGGCTCAACTTTGCTGAGGCGCAGTGCAGCGGGCGATGGATGGCTCCGTTGATGGGGCCTGTGAAGCAAAGGGCTCTCATGGGTAAGGGAGTCAAGGGAGTCACCAAGGAGATCAGACAAGCACTCCGCCTGTCGGCGAACCTTCTGGGGACAGCGCCGCCCAGGAGGTTAGAGGCTTTGAACCACGAGCCGCCATGCCTTGTGTTCACGGATGGAGCCTATGAAAGTGGAATAGCATCGTGTGGTGCCGTGGTTTTCTCCCCTCGCCTTGCAAAGCCAATAGCATTTGGGCTCGTGGTTCCTGAAGAGGTAGTGAGTGAGTGGCATGGTTTCGGGCACGAACACGTCATCGCCCAGGCAGAGGTGATGCCCATCGTGGTGATCAAGCGACAGTTTGCACAGTTGCTGAGGGGGGCAAGGGGTCTGTTCTTCATTGACGATGAAGGGGTCAAAGAAGCACTGGTAGCAGGTGTGACCAAGTCAGAAGCATGTCGGAAGATGTTAGTGGAAGCAATGATCCAAGACGCTAACAACAACAGCCTCAACTGGTACACCAGAACTCCCTCTCCGAGCAACATAGCAGACGCACCGTCAAGGCTAAGGTGGGATATCCTCGACGAGATGGTCTAATGTGTGAAAGTGACAGCCGAAGTCGACTACAATGAATGGGGCAAAATGCGGGTAGTCTGAAGTAGTGATGGTAAGTCCAGGTCCGAGAACATGTTGTACAGATAAGTGTGTCAATACAGTTCAGTTTTCCATACCATTTGAACAGGCAGCAATGCTGCGCCGTACACGTCCCCAATGGGGTATAAAAATGAATGTCTTGTGCGGATGAGACTTTGGTAGAGTCGAAAGCAATCTGTCACGTAGTGATGATGTATTTTGACAACCTAGAAACAGGTAATCAACTAGTTGATGGACGGTCGAATCTGTCGTGCCATTTTGGCTACAAGATTGGGTCCCCCCGCACTCATCATTTTTGAGCACCCACCCTCCTCACCCTAGCCCCGGACAGTCCAGGGTTGGAGTGGGGGCAGCCGTAGTGGGTGGCGCCAGAGCAATGGTTGTCGTTGCAGGCTTAGGGGGATTACATATATTATTCTACAGGGGGGCAAAATGCGGGTAGTGTGAAGTAGTGATGGTAAGTCCAGGTCCGAGAACATGTTGTACAGATAAGTGTGTCAATACAGTTCAGTTTTCCATACCACTTGAACAGGCAGCAATGCTGCACCGTACGCGTCCCCAATGAGGTATAAAAATGAGTGTGTTGTGCGGATGAGACTTTCGTAGAGTCGAAAAATATATGTAAGTATGATATATGATGCATGATACCTAATATATATCTGATATCAACTCCGATGTGATTGGTGCGCTGTGGTGCTTTCGGATGATCGCCCCGTGTTGTCGTTCTCGGTCCGGCCGGTGGACAGGTTGGGCTCGTTCGGTGCCATGAGCCCCCATGTGAGGGAATGCCATGGAACCGGGTGACGAGGATCTGTCAGACCGACCCCTATTCCGTGGTGAACACCGGGTGCCTGTTACGGTTCGGTCTCGGCGGGTCTGGTTCGGTGTGCCGCGGTTCGGTCTGGCGGTCGCTGGCGGGGTTCCGCAGGAGCTGAAGTCTCAGACCACGGAAGTCACCGAAGGGAAGAGCGAGGGACCTGAGGAGGCGCGGTCGGGTCAAGAGACGTGGAGGTCTCTCAGACGTGGACGGTGTGGTGAAAACAACAAGACCTTAGACCTATACCAGGGCCCCCTGTTATGACACCCCCTTGACACCCCGATGACACCCCCTTTTCGGGGCCTAGACAGCCCCAGGAGGTTGCGCGGAGTGGTCGCTGGGGGGTCGGGACGAAGACCTGAGGCTTTTGAGTTTTGGAGGCGTTTGCAAGTGCACCTGGGACAGAAAATGGACAGAACAAGTCTTGGGAACGGTTGGGATTCCCCAGAATGTGCAGCAGGCGACTAAACATCGCTTTGTTATACACCCAATGTTCTGCAGACACACTATAAATATATGGTTCTATCTCCAAAATGAGCATCCACCGAACCAATGAGATTTCATCAGGGTCCTGGTGACCTTCGACCAGGAATGGTTTTTACCAGGAATAGTTTTTATCGGGGCTTCTTCTCAAGCATCCCTCATGTCAGTGAGTCTGTGCTGGAAACCCACTGAGATCTGTGATGAAGTTAGTGGTAGTCCAATTGATGGTCTTCAGAGGCTGCCGGCATCCACTCCTGTGTGGTTACTCCCACCGCCGCCACCCCAAAATTCCAGTGGATCGTGAAGCTGCAAAAAGACCATCAATTTAGGGGCTTGAAGGAGCGTTGATAGTGATGGTTCTCAAGATCCGCGCCGGGCGCGTTCGGAGGTTCTCCGATGAGCCTGGTGCATCTGCAATCCACCGCCTGCGACCCTCATCCATTTGCACTCATCAATGGGCGCGCATCTTCCAATCCCAATGATCCGGTCATAGGGCCTTGTCAAGCCACCCCAGCCGTCCACGGACCAAAGGAGGTTGGTTCGAACCCGACTGTTCGACTATCCCAGTTGGGTACCCCAGTGAGGTCCTTAGTTCACGGTCATTGGATACCTCTCTGGGGACTTGTTGGCACCTCGCATCCCCACGACCCTCGCATCTCCACCGCCGGGTTCCACGCGGATTTGGCTGGCCCGGACGGTGCACGGGGGGTTCCGCGGGGAGGCGCTCTACATGGATGAGGACGCCGATGGGACGACCTCGGACTACTCGAGGCTGGTACTGGTTGCGAAGGGAAGGCATTGGATGACCATTGGCCTGTGTACGTCTTTGTACCTTTTTCAGTGGATCCCCTTGGAGCGTGTACAAGCATATGGCACCAAAGGTACAACATCGACTTTTCTATTCATTTTCAAAGGAAGGACGGCTTGCCCGGCGGAGGGTGGGAAGGCAGGGAGCATTGGAAACGGATGAAGTCCTCAAAAAAGGCCCACAAAGGGTGGGTAATGCTCAAGCCAAGCAGTGAGGGCATCATCTCCGATGTGGACATCTCCGAATCTTGCATTCCAACAACCCTCGGATGTTCCCCGGTCATCGTAAGCATGAGTTTGTGAAGGGGAGAATCAACATGCAATGTCTATAAAGTATGCCTGATTCTCATTGACAGCAAGAATTATACAAGATTATACCAGGCTTTGGCCAGAGCTTTGTCACGAAGGCTGGGTTTTGCTTTTGAATGCTTTCAGGTCAACGATATATTATATCACCGGGACACATTCTGTAAATGCATATTCAAGGGGTGTGTGCGTTCCCTCTCAATATATCTCAATAGGCATTTCCCAGTCTTCAGATTTCATTCCTAGGGATGTGATTTTATACATATTTTTGACTTGGAAGTTGTAAGTTTCATGACATGATGATTATGGATGTCCCCCGCCCCCTTTCATACAGTGCATAGGTGAGTGCTTCCCCCTGTATATACATACAATCAGGTCTTGAGCCACCCGCTGCCTTGCATACATATACATATCCCTAAGACGGTGTTTCCAGAAACAAAAAGAACACGTCACGAAACATGTATATTTTGTATTGCGACATTCTTTTCTCTATTATGTTAAACCCCCCCGCCCCGTTCGAACATGTTTTCTCAACAGCTGTCCCGGTCCCCCTCATCTGCATTCATTAGCAGAAACTTATGAACCCACCAACCTTTGTGTAGATGGACCGTGTGATTATTGTAAGGGCTCCGCCCTGGTGCCGCCGACCCCTTTTTTGTGAGACAAGGCAGCATGGCGAGGAAGGCAACAACCGAAGTTGGACATAGTGCTCCCCAGCTACTCTGCGTACTAAAGTTGTATTGCTAAGTCGCCACT